GTGCCTCAAAAATGATCATTCGTGCCATAGAAATGGTCATTTGTGCCATGCAAATGGTCATTTGTACCATAGAAATGGTCATTTGTGCCATAGAAATGGTCATTTGTGCCATGCAAATGGTCATTTGTACCATAGAAATGGTCATTTGTGCCTTAAAACATGGTCATTTGTGCCATAGAAATGCTCATTTGTGTCATAGAAATGCTCATTTGTGCCATAGAAATGGTCATTTGTGCCGTACAAATGGTCATTTGCGCCAGCCCCTTGTTACAGACAGACAGACACACAGACAGACGGACATACAGACACACGCGAATTACGGTTTCTAGACCCTAGCCTTTCAGTCTAGGGAACATGTTAGGAGTACCACGGTGATGGTGCATTGGTGTTACCTACTGCTTTACACTAGTCTAAACATGTACGTATAGACTACGATTTTTTTCGTTGAAGAAGCTATTTCAAGAAAATAGTTCAATTCGATGAAAATAAACTAAAGGTTCCCATGCCTCAGAAATCCGAATCTATATGAGGCTTGTCAAAACTCTTGACTTTGATTTTCTTGTTTGAGAAAGAGTTAGTTCTCATGGTTTAACCATGTTTTATAAAATTCAGCTATTTTTTTCTCATAGATCTAGCTCGACCTGAAAAGGAAAAACGAAAAAAAAAATTCTTTATTTTCTTAAAAGGAATTTTCTAAAGAGAGTAATCCTCTAACTCATAAATCGCTTTTGGATCCAGATTATATGCATTATGTACACCCAAAAGAGCTATGAATACCGTTTAAAAAAAGTTCATGTCCTTAGCTTACTGCTATGGAAATACTACATTTTTACGTATTTTTTAAACGAATGTTAACCATAAACTACCCTTGTTAAAGCATATCTCTATGAAAAGTTTTGAATCGAAATTCGAGAACCAATTTTCCTGAAGGGTCAAAAGCATTCATTTAAAAAATACCATTAAGATGAAGTATCTTTGCAGTAGTAAGCTAAGAACATGAATTCTTTTCAGCGTATTCATAGCTCATTTGAGTCTACATATGATGCATATAGTCTCGACTTCTCAACAAAATAGAGCCATTTCTGAGAATAAAATTTACGTGTCCATCTGGTGTACGAAAAATGCACAATGTGAGAGACCCTAGGAATAACATTGTTACAATTTCTCGTTCATAGTAAAATCTATTGACCTTAAACTTTATAATTATTTAATACTAAGTAGGTAAAGTAATCTATCAAAATTGCAAAGAGTTGGCTTTTGTTGAATGGAAGAATGATGAATTTGAATATCGTTAATATTCTTTTAGGAATTCTTTGTACAACAGGTTCAAACACAACAAATTCATTTATAGATGTATGAAACTTTAGTTTGTTTGCTTATTTTTACAACTTCTTGTTGTTGTTTAGAAGAATTTCTAATGAGAAAACAATCCATGACAATAAAATAACCTTCGAAGAATAATAAAAACTGTAACGAATTTTTATTGATTATTCTCTATCTGATCAAGGTCTGTTAATGATATTGGTACAAATAACGAAGTAAATGGATATATTAGCAACAAGGTAATCTATCACGTTATGTCTAATTTATGCTAGGTATTTTATTATAAGTCGGGTGTTTATGCTTTCGAATTATTCTCTTTTTTTTCTATTTTTCTTAAAAAACGGTTCATATATGAATCTATACTCACTCAATAGAAACAAGTATAATAAACTATAAGTCTTAAATATAATATCGACTCTTACTCTTTCTGAATAAGAGTTTTATAAAAAGCTATTTTTTTTCTTTCATTATTACTTTGAAAAAGAGAAATGATATGCTGCTAGTCATATAATTTACTACTTACGAAACATCTCAATACAAAATTTTAAGATCTGGCGAATTTTATTGTAGTATAAACTGTAAATGTCTTTAAATGCTGAATGTTTGACCATTTTTTTCAATCATTTTAGCGATTTTGCGCGGTTATATTGGCGATTTTCAGTAAACATCAACGAATGAAACCAATTGTTCTTTTTGAAGGTAAAGGTAATGTTGGAGTTGATGAGCGTCAACAATACTGAATAGATGTACATGTTATTTTTACACCAAAAGCTGTAATTAATAGACAATCAATGGGCATATACATTAAAATTTGGTTAGAAAAGGTACTCGAACATTGCTTGAGTATACCAAGAGAACATCATCTGTAAAAATAATGTGATGATAGTTTTGTGTGGATTACGAGTCATTATCAGAATAGACTTAAGAATATCATCATTGCTTCAAGAATTTCACAAACAGTAATTTATTATGTGAATAAAGGTTACTATTTATCGTATAAGTATATGATGGTCATCCAAAGCTCCTCATAATTGATTCAGCCAATTCTCATTTAAAACCAGAAATAATTCAACAGTTACGAAAAAAAAATTGGTAGTATCTATTATTCCAAAAGGATGCACATAATATCTGCAAGTTCTTGATACATCGTGTTTTTCGACGTTCAAGAATCATTATCAAGCCGCTGCTGATGAACACATCGATCATTATTGTTCATGCAGCAGAATTAAATTAACAGCTAAACAGCAAAGAATTTTATGTACTCATTTAATTTCAACGACATGGATTCGAATTCAAAGAAGTGTCGATTTTGAACGTGCTTTTTCTGATATTGGTTACACATGGGTGGATCAATCTTCTGTTTCTATTTCAACTTTACAGGAATTTATTTTTGATCCATCAACAGTAACTTCTTCAACAGTTCATGATGATGATAATGAAGAGAGAGAAGAATATAACGCAAAGAAAACGATGATCGAAGAAAAAAAAAAAAGAACTCGCATTTATTAAGCATCATCAACAACAACACAAATTGAAACAGCTCAGCTTAGATCAGTTTATCAAAAAATGAAATTTAATTCTAGTTCAGTTTTGTTTTGATTTTTTCATATTTTGCTTTTGTAGTTGCACTTTGTATTTGAAATATGAACATGGTGAGCTAACTTAATTATATCTGATCCTATATGAGTACCTAAACATATTAGAAGACCCCTCTTAGAAATTTGTGGGTTAGAACATAATAGAAGATCTGAGGTCTTTTATTGTGAGGGGGTTTATTGAATATAACGTATGAAAAGCGAAAAAAAATACTACACACGAGGACGAAGTGAAAGAGGTGATATACGTTCGATGATGACTGATCGCGATAGAGCAGGTATACCTGGCTAACGACGAATAAAATTTTGAGCAGCGACCGCAGGTGGTAGATTTGGTGGATGTTGACGAAGAACGAGTGGAGAAGGTATAGGAAGAGAAGGAGCTTGTTGACGGATGATAAGTGGAGGTGGAGCAGGTGGTTGAGGTGGACGCACTTCTTTGATGATGAGCGGCTAGAAAATACAATTTTTTAAGTAATAAAATAAACAAAAATATTAAGAAGAAATAACTTACGCCTGGTGGTGGAATAGGTGGTGGTTGAAGATACCGAATTGTGACGTTGTGTTTGTAAGGTAGTACACCAGCTGCAATTGGGCGACGGATGATTAGAGGGTTTGGATCTTGATAAAGACCTTGAGCATCCGTTGGATATCTTTGTGCAGCATAACCACCACCAGCACCGTAACCTGCCAACGATTCATAACTTGATAAGCCACTGTCAATTACACCAGCATCTACACCATATCCAGAACTATTGTATGCTAATGATTGATAATCAACTGCACTAGCAGCATCACCACCCCATTGATTCAATTCGCCTAGATCAACATAACCATCACGGTTAACGTCATATTGATTGAAGGTTGCACGAGGAGCGCCGAAACTCATGGTTATAAATAATCACCAGTTGTATCTAGTCGATGAATGCCTAATCAGAAAGATTGCGATGAATGTAATTATTCACAATATTTCTGCTTGGTTTTATACACAGGCAAGAGTAACATAACAATGCTAGTCCCTCGAGTCACTTAAGCGTATCCTACAAATTTTTTTTTCTCTTTCGTTCTCTTCTTATATTTTGTTGAAAATGTTTGCTTATCATCATCATATAGCTACCGATCACCGTAAAAATCTGCTTAATTATACCTTTTTCTTGTGGTTATTCCCCACATAAACATATATACCAACCAAGAATGATATTAATTGCCTCTCTTTTTCTCTCTCCGTCGAGATAACATACTACACAAAAATGACAAAAAACCAGTGGTTAGAATCATGATCAAGGCATAAAATAAAGGACTATTGATTTTCATGATAATAACTGAAGGTTTCTCATATAAAACACATACTTGATTATTTAGCGAAATCGATTCTTCTTCGTTTTTTATTACATTTTGAATTTGGATAGTCAATCACCTTGTTTAGACGAATAATAATAAAGCATAAATATTATTTTAGTTATGTTTCAAGGTACGCAACCTTTAAA